ATCAACATTAACAAGATCAGCATTATTTGAAGTTAGATAGTCCATTCTTCAGTCTAATAACAGCAGGGAAGAAGCTGTTCTTGAACCTGTTGGTACGGGTGCTTTAGCTTCTGGATCTTCTGCCTGATGGAAGAGGTTGTAGGAGAGCATTACTGGGGTGGGAGGGGTCTTTGATGATATTATCGAGTCATACAGCATGGAAACAGACCCTTCGCTCCAACCAGTCCACGCCGAACATAATCCCAAACTAAACTAGTCCCACCTGCCTGCTCCTGGCCCATATCCCTCCGAACCTTTCTTTTAAATGTTGTAATTGTACCCGCATCTACCACTTCCTCAAGAAGTTCATTCCACAAGCAAACCACCCTCTGTGTAAAAAATTTGCCTCATCTTTTCTAAATCTCTCTCCTCTCATTTTAAAAATGTGCCCCCTAGACTTGAAATCCCCTATCCCAGGAAAAAGACAACTACCATTAACTCTATCTATATACCTCTCATTATTTTATAAACTTCTTTCACGTCGCCTCTCAACTTTCTGTGCTCCAGTGAAAAAAGTCCTAGCCTATCCAGCCTTTCTTTATAACTCAAACTTCCATACCCGGCAACACCCTGCTAAATCTCTTCTGAACCCTTTCCAGCTTGATAATATCGGGAAGTGTTAATGGAGTCCATGGATGGAAGGTTGGTTTCCATGATGGTCTGAGCTATGCTCACAGCCTTCTGTAGTTTAATGTGGTCCTGGACAGAGCAGTTGCCATACCAGGCCATTATGCACCCAGATAGTATGCTTTCTATGGTGCATCTGTAAAAATTGGTGAGGGTCCTTATGGACATGCTGAATTTCCTAAGCCCCCTAAGGAAGGAGGTGTTATGTGCCTTGTTGTCCAGTTGTTTTGTTCATTTATTCACAGGATGAGGGTGTCGCTGGCTAGGTAGCATTTATTGCCCACCCCTAATTGCCCAGAGGGCAGTTAAGAATCAGCCACACTGCTGTAGACCAGACCAGGTAAGGATGGCAGTTTCCTTCCCTAAAGGACATTAGTGAACCAAATGGGTTTTTCTAACAATTGGCAATGGATTCATGATCATCATTAAACTCTTAATTCCAGATATTTATTGAAATCAAATTCCACCATCTGCCTTGGTGGGATTCGAACCCTGATCCCCAGAACATTATCTGGTCTCTGGATTAACAGTCCAGCAAAAATACCACTAGGCCATCGCCTTCCCTAAATATTCCAGAGATGAGTGTAGGGCTAGGAAATTGGCTTCCACTGTGGACCTGTTACGTCAGTGACCTGTTACTGGGCAGTGGTCATTAAGGCACGTTGCATGTGCTTTCTTTGGTACTGGGATGATAGTGGTCTTCTTGAAGCATAGGGGGATTTTGGCTTGTAGGAGGGAGATGTTGAAGGTGTCGGTGAATACCTCCACCAGCTGGTCTGCACACGATCTGAGTGCATGGCCAGGGACTCTGTCTAGGCCCATTGCATTCCTTGAGTTGATAAGACCCGATCTGACGTCTGGAGCAGTGAATGAGGGAACAGGTGCAACCGGGGCTGTCGGGGCACCACTGGCACTCTGCTTGAACCGTTGTAAGAGACCCCTTAGGGATGAGGGACCATAATACGATAGAATTCTCCATCCAGATTCAGTATCCTGAATCTTAAGGAAACTACAATGGTATGAGGCATGAGTTGGCTATGATGGATTTGGTAATGTTATTGAAAGGAATTACAGTGGATAGGCAATGACAAACATTCAAAGAGTAAATTGGCAAACTACAAAATTTGTTAATTCCTGTCTCACACAAGAGTGCAAAGGGAACCGTGCCACACCATGGCTTAAGAGGGAAGTTACAGCATTAGATGCAAAAAAAAGCATACAAATTGGAAAGAAAAAATAATTGACCTGGGGATTAGGAACAGTTTGGAAGGCAGCAAAGAGCACTGATTAAGAAGCAGAAAATAAAGTATGAGAGTAAGTTTGCGGGGAACATAACTGACTGACTGTAAAAGTTTCTCCAGATAAGTAAAGAGAAAAAGATTGTTGAAAACTCGTATACCCTTTACAGTCAGAAATGAGGGAATTTATAATGGGGAACACAATAACACACTAGATACAATGAGGAACACAGGATTTAGTGACAGGGAGGAACTGAAGCAAATCTATATTAGAAGAAAACTGGTGTTGGAGAAATTGATGGGATTGAAGGCTGACAAATCCAATGTAGACAGGCTGGCTGAGTTGGCAAATGCATTGGCAGATGCAGCATAATGTGGATGAATGTGAGGTTATCCACTTTGGTACCAAAAAGAGGAAGGCAGATTATTACTCGATTGACTGTAAATTCTGAGAAGGAAATATTCGACAAGATTTGGGTATCCTCATGCACCAGTCACTGAAAGTAACGGTACAGGTGCAGCTGGCAGTAAAGAAGGCTATGCTGGCTTTCATAGACAGAGGATTTGAGTACAGGAACATGGATGTCTTGCTGCAATTGTACAGGATATGGGTGAGGCCACACCTGGAATACTGCATACAGTTTTGTTCTCCTTATCTGAAGATGAATGTTCTTGCAATAGAGGGAGTGCAAGGTTTACCAAATTGATGCCTGAAATGTTAGGATTGACGTGTGAGGAGAGACTGAGTCAGTTAGGACTGTATTTGGAGTTTTGAAGACTGAAGAGAATTTCACAGAAACCTATAATAGGTTCTAACAGCAATGGACAAGTTAGATATAGGAAGAATGTTCTTAATGATGGGGATTCCAGAACCAGTCTAAGGATAAGGGGGTAAACTTTTCAGATTGAAATGCAGAGGAACATCTTCATCAGGAAGTAGTGAGCCTGTGGGATTCACTACCACTGAAAATGGTTGAGGCCAAAACATTGTGTCTTCAAGGAGTTAGATACATTTCCTGTGGGGTGGGCAGTTGGGATTAGGGTATTGAGCTTGATGATCAGCCATGACCATATTATATGGCCGATAAGTCTCGAGGGGTCAAATGCCTTCTATGTTTCTATGAAACCACATCCGAAGTATTGTGCACAATAGATCACCTTATTTAGGGAAGGATATAAATTCATTGGAAGCGATTCAGAGAAGTTTTATGAGACTAATAATTGAAATGGGAGGAGAGGTTCTGGGATTGTATTTGCTGGAATTTAGAAAAGTAAGAGGCTTCTTAATTAAAACGTAAGATGCCTGAAGAGTGTTGGACAGAGTAAATATGGAGAGGATGGGAGAATCTAGAACATTTTTAATTCATTCACAGAATGAGGGCATCGCCAGCTAGGCCAACACTTACTGGTTCATGTCAACCACACTGCTGTGGGTCTGGAGTCACATGTGGGTCAGACCAGGTAAGGATGGCAGTTTGCGTTCCTAAAGGGCATTAGTGGACCAGGTGGGTTTTTCCCTGAGAATTGGCAATGGATTCACGATCGTCATTAGTTTCATTATTCCAGATTTTTATTGAAATTCAAATTCCACCATCTGCGGCAGCAGGTTTTGAAACCAGGTCCCCAGAACGTTGGGTCTTTGGATAAACAGTCCAGTTACAATACCAACAGGCCTTTCCCTCCCTTTGGTGTCACCTAAAATAGGAGTAGTTTTCCAAAGAAAAAGCAAAGAACTGCGGAAAAACCCAGCAGGTCTGGCAGTACCAGTGGAGAGAAAGAGTTAATGTTTTAGGTCCAAAGATGCTTCTTCAGAACAGTATTTTTCTCGTGGATTGTTGTGATCTTCCTCAAAAGGTGGTGCAAGCAGAGTCCTTGATTGTCTTTGAGGTAGAATACTTCTTGACAAGGTTATCTGTGCTAGGCAGGAAAGTGCAGTACTTACGTCGGCCATGATATTTTCGACGAGGGGTGGCCCAGGTATGAAGGGCCGAGTGACCTACTCCATTCGCGTATCCTGACTGTTCCACGAATGCCCCCGACAAAAATGGCGGCCTTGGCTGTTAGATGTGGCCTGACGCCGTGCGTGGGAGTTCGCGGCGCGGCCATTGGCTGTCCCTCCGCCGCTACTCCCGCTCCCCATTGGCGGAGCCTACAGGGCTATGACGGGTGGTGGACGGAAGGTGGAGCCGGGCCAATGGGTGCGGGGTGGGGGCGGGACGTCATTGAAGGCGGTAAATGCGAGGGTGAGCGGCGCGGGACGGAGACGTGGAGAACGGGGTGCGCGGCTCGTTGGGGCTGGGGACGGGTGTGCACGTGGACAGCTCGTGGCGTTGGGGTCGGGGGGCGGGTGGAGGTTTGGGGCGCGCGCACGCGAGTCTCGGACTGGGTGAGAGCAGGTACGCGCCCGGGTCGTTGGGCGGTGCGGGCCGGGTTCCCCCGTGTTGTCATAGTAACGGGCTGTGAGGTGAGCGCGCGGGCGGTGCGGCCTGATCGTGAGCAAACCCTGAGCTGGCGGTGAGTGTCCGCATAGACCTGCTGGTTTAAACGGACTGGCGTTTATCGGCCGCTTTCCAACTGAACGTTAGGAGCCAAGGTTGAATTTAGGGGATCGGGGTCAGGATTGATAATAGGACCAGGATTGGGAATCCGGGGTCACCATTGGGAATTGGATCAGGGAGTCATCACTGGGAATAGATTCACCATCGGGAATAGGATCAGGATTGGGGTTAGGATCAAGGAGTCACCATTGGGAATAGGATCATGGAGTCAACAATGGGAATAGAATCAGGATTGGCAGTAGGATCAGGATTGGGAGTGGGATCAGGGAGTCACCATTGGGAATGGGATCAGGATTGGGAATAGGATCAGGGAATCACCATAAGGAATTGGATCAGAATTGGGAATAGGATTGGAAATAGGATCAGGGAGTCACCATTGGGAATAGGATCAGGATTGGGAATAAGGTCAGGGTCACCATTGGGAATAGTATTAGGATCGGGAATAGGATCAGGGGTCATCATTGGGAATTGGATCAGGAGTAGGATCAGGATTGGCAATAGGATCAGAGAGTCACCATTGGGAATAGGATCAGGATTGGGAATGGGGTCAGGGAATCACCATTGGGAATAGGATCAGGGTTACCATTAGGAATAGGATCAGGATTGGGAATAGGATCAGATAGTCACCAGTGGGTATAGAATCAGGGAGTTACCATTGGGAATAGGATCAGGATTGGGAATAGGATCAGGGTCACCATTGGGAATAGTATCAGGATCGGGAATAGGATCAGGGGTCATCATTGGGAATTGGATCAGGATTGGTAACAGGATCAAGGTCCCATTGGGAATAGCATCAGAGTCAGTAATAAGATCAGCGGTCACCGTTAGAAATAGGATTGGGGGATTAGGGGTCAGGATTGGCGGATAAATAAGGAGTGAGGATCCAGGATAAAATCAGGGATTGGATCTGGATTGGGGATAAGACTGGGGTCTCAATTGGTAATCAGATTTTGGACAGGGTCTGGATTGGGATATGATTAAGGTTCATGATTGGGTTCAGGGCCAAGGGGTGTAGGATCAGGGATTACCACTGAGGGTAGGATCAGAATCAGGGTATCAATTGGATTTTAGGATTATGTTCATTTTTGAATTCAGAAATTTGCTAAAATACTGAAAACATTCCACAAGTTGGGAATTTACGGAGACTGAAATATTGCAGATATTTCAGCTCGACATTTTGTCAGAACTGGGAGGTGTTACAGATTATAAATCAACAGAAATAACTTAAGTAAAGCTATTATATTTCATGTAGGCCATTAGTCATTCATTAGAAGTATAAAAACAAAATATGACGTTCTAAAAATCTGAAACTAAAACAAGTCAGTATGACTGGCAGCATCTAGAGACAGAGGGAGGGACAACAAATTTGGAGATTAATGACATCAAGAGATATGGGGATAGCTTAGGAAAATAGCATTGAAGTTGATGATTGCCATGATCTGACTGAATGGAACAACAGGCTCGACAGGTTGAATGGCCTATTCCTGTTTGTGTTACTAAACAGTTAATTTCCAGTTCAGTGGTGTTCTGATTAAAATTTTATCAACCTGAAAAATTAACTCCCTCTCTCTTCAGATGCTGCCAGACCTACTACTGAACATTTCTAGCATTTGCTGATGTTATTTCATGAGGCATAGTTCATCTTAAATCTGCTTCTGTTCATAACTATGATTTTCCAACTTTGGTAATATGCTAATAATGATGTACGATACTTTCTCTCTAAAAGTTTAATGTTTTAACATGTTTGCTGTGATGTGATTGCTTACAACACACTGTGTGGTCTAATCATTGTTATGTTTAAATTTTATCTTTACCTTTTTATAAAATGCAAATGTTGTTTATTCTTTGGCTTCATTTACTTACACTGTTGATGTCACTCTTTGACACAAACCAACTGTCCAGCCAACTGAGCAAACTGACCCCCATACTGTACTGGCTGAAGTCACCATGAAGGTCCTGCCTTCTCAATCCCACCCCTCTCCTGAGGTGTGGTGACTCTCGGTTAAATTCACCACCAGTCATCTCTCTCTAATGAGAGCAGCCCTGTAGTCCTGTGGGACAATGGTGACTTTACCCCATTGTATTTTCAGGAAATTATTTGTTAGAAACTTTAGGCCACTGCTCATCTACATGTTACATTTTCCTTTGAACCTACACTCCTGTTCCTTGTCCTGTCACAGTTTTGCATGTTAAGTTGCTTTTGTCATCTACCAGCAGCCTCATGGGGCAATTTGCATACTGCTGAAGTGACTAGGAGAAGGAAAATTCAATAAGTTAGAGAGGGTGGCAGTATGACCTTCGTTCAAAGTCAGAACCTTCAGGGTGCATGTTTTGGGCCATGGAGACTGCTTTCCTGCCTGTGCCCCAGTCACTGGGACAATAAGCCTCCTGCTGTAATGCCCTCCCCACCTCTCGCAGGATAACTGCCTCTGTTCCAGCCCTGACAAAAATACAAAAAGTCTACTTAATTGGAACTCTAACTGTTTAAATTGACTGCTTCCACTCAATGGACATCTAGTCCACATCTGAGCCCAGCCCTGGAAAACATTTTTCCAGTGTTGGGAATCTGTCTCAAACCCACTCTTCCCTCCAACCCTATCACCATAAATTGAGGAAAATGTGGCCCTTTGACTTTGTCTGTCTCATTCTCCATAGAAATTACCTGACCTGACAAGTGCCATTGGTTTATATTTTTATTTCAGATTTCCTGAATCCACAGTGTTTTGCTTTTGTCCTGTACTTTGTTTGGTATACTACTAATTTTGTGTCTGTCAAATTGCGATATTGTAATGTCCGATGCTGAAATGTTGGCACATGTTGAAAGCAATAGCTGACATGGCATTTCCTCTTTCAGCAGTACTGCTGATTTGAGCAGAACGTATTTAATGCCAATGCTGAGGAGCTGTCCTAGAGAGCAGTGTAAAGCACAGGCGCAGACTGAATCATTAAAGAATGTGGACGTAGGGGTGTCTTGGCACTGTTCAGGAGAACTCCCCTGTTCAATGTCCCGGTCGACACTCCTTCTCAACCAATATAAGTAACAAAGCAGATTGACATATTCTTTATCCCTTGGCAGATTGCTGGTCTTGGTGAATAGTGATGCGCTTTCTCACTTTATATTAAAATAAATTGAAATGTATTGAATCAACATGATAAATATTGAAATTTCTCCTTGTAGTGACGCTTTCTAGAATTTCAATTGGTCCTAAAAGTAGTGTGTTGTGTACATTTCCATTCGCAACAAAGGTGTGCCATTAATGTAGTAAATCCCCTCCATCACTTTTTGCCAGTATTTGAAGCTGGTTTGGCCTAGCTGAATTTTTCCGAACATTATTAGAAGGTTCTTTCTAATTTGCACAAAACCATGCACTACATTCCCAAATTACGTCGTGTCCTTGAACAATGTGGTTTACTGTTTTGATTCAAGCCGGCCCTGTAGGGCCACTATTCAATCTATAGGATCAAGTGTAATTTTGGATTTTGTTTCACAACAGTGGGAATGGTGAGAGCCAATCTGAGCTTCTGTATTTTTCTTTTATATTTGGGAAAAAAATGATATAGGAAAATCTTTGTTTTGACATCGTCTGCAGTATTTGGTGAAAAGAACATCCTGAATGGAATGATCTAGTTGGAACATGGCCCCTGGAAAAAGCATAAAGTACTTGGAACTGGTGCTGTCCTGCGAGTGGGATGGTTGTACCTTTGTTGGGAAGACGATGGAGGAGTTCTGCGACCACATAGCTGTGCACTTGAAAGAACATGTCAATGAGTATGACAGCTTCGGAGATTTAGGTAAACATCTGTTGAGATCACCCTTGAGCTTAGTCCCTTTTCCCTCCCAATTGTCTCCTTTGTTTTAATCCTTGTCCCTCACATCCTTTTCTTGATTCCCGTTACTGTGTGGTTCCAGAGACTCGAGTGCCCACTGATACCTCACTTAAGTAATTGATCTTTATGTGTGAACTTTTCCACTGAAGAGCAATAGAACATTTAATAAAATGTTGTATGTGCATATTTACTGTACACCTTTTCTTAGTTTCAATAACATTTTTATGTCTGTCTTAATGCTGTATGGAAGGATTTTTAAAATTTGCTCTTCTGTTGACAATGTGAAAAGAAATTCCCCTCTCTGCTACTTCATACAGTAAATTTCAAGTCTCAATCTCTGTAAACCACTGAGACCACTTGTCTCCAAGTTCATTGTTAAGAGTTCCAATCCAATTGTGTTTTAACCCTCCCCGGCAGTGGTTAAGATTTTTGGTTCATATTGCCAAGAAACCAATAACTAACCCTTTATTAGCAAGGTGTGTGAGTCAGAGTTCAGTGAATTCACTGAGAGAATTGTGGAGGAGGGACATTGAAGGGAAGATCTTTGAAGTGATGCAGGTATGGTTAGCTGCCTGACCCTTTATTTTAGCGAAACAGTACCTGACACAGGTGAAGGTATGTAAAGAAGTGCATGGAGAAAGGCTTAAATATCCAAACCGTTGATTCAGATCTGAAGAGAAGCAGCCATTTTGTATTTCAACAATTATTTTGTTGTCTGAAGCATTGTGAAACTTCTAAGGTGCATTCAGTCTTCTCTGATTGAACACCTTTTTTTGTGGGAGTGTCTCCAAAGCAGCAGTGCATTTCCTGTGCTTAGAAGAGCACCAAGGATTGGACACCAAAAAGAAACAAGCATTGATTTCTAGACTCATAGTGAAAGATGATTACATCAAATAATTAGCTCCTTTGCTCTTACATTCCCCTTTCAGATGAGTACCAGTGCCTCTGGAGGGGCTGTGGCTTCCTGGCTGTAGAAGGCCCCAATGAGCTGGTGGTGCATGTAAACTTCCACAGCTATCATGCTAAGCTGAAATATTTTGGCTTGGAGCTGCAGCGCCTACGTCCAGATCTTCCTGTGTGTTCTCTGGACAACCAGAACCAGAACTTGATTCCAGAAATTGCAGAAACCTTCACCTGTCAGTGGGAGCATTGTGATGTGAGTATCGATTTACATGATTAAAATCTTAACAGGGTAGATATGGAAAGTTGTTTCTCCTTATGGGAAAATCTAGGACCAGAGACATAATCTCAGAGGAAGGGGCTGCCCAGTAAGGACAGAGATAAGGAGGAATTGGTGGGATTCTTTTCTGTGTAGGGCTGTAGAAGCTGTGTGTTTAAGTATATTCAGCGTTGAGATAGACAGGTTTTTAATCAGGAATTAATGTTCATGGGAAAAAAGGGAGGAATGTGGAGTTGAGGTTATCAGATCAGCCATGAACCCGTTGAATGGTGGTGTAGACTCAATGGGCTAAATGGCTTACTTCTGCTTCTATGTCTTATGTTCTTCAGTACACATGTTGCAATTGGGTGGTTGTTTAAAAAGATATTATCAGCAATTGAGATCTATAAGAAATATCCCAGAAATTCAAAACCTCACAAATGGCTGGATTTATACTGCTTCTCTGCGACTGCAGCTTGCCTTTACCCTCTCTGTGATTTTCATGAGATTGCTGCGTTTACACTATTAAACTAAAATTACCACAGAACATTTGGGTATAAAAACATAAGGGCTTTTTAAATGATGAAATTTATGTGGTGCCTATATGTTTATATTCTGGATATATATGGGTCGGCATGGACAGGATGGGCCAAATGGCCCTTTTCTGTGCTATATCATTTCTATGGTTCTTTATCTTTTAATTTTTGTTTCTCTCTTAATCAAATAATTCTTTCCCTCTCATTTTTATTTCTGTACCTAATTTGCTGCTTAGTTCATCCTGTTCTCCATTATCATGTTTCTTCCTCTGTCTTTGAATCTCATTTATTAAGGAAACAGACTTTTAGTCCCATCATTTACCAAGGTCCTGTTGACCTTGACATAAGCTCACCAACTTGCACTTCCACCATTTGGCAATGGAAGCATTTTTCATGCTAAAGAGCGAGAGAATCAAATCCCCTTTTCATGGAGCACACACCAAGAAGCCCTGTCACTACGAAGTCTGGTGAAAGAATCTAAGAAATATTTTTTGTTCCTTACATTTTCTTTTCTAATTCGGAGGCATTGTCTCTTTCTTAACTGGGTTTTACAGACAATTGACACCTACTGGTATCTTGCTTTAACAAACAGTGCCAGCAGGCTTTAGACTGAACAAGACAGCGCATCAGAACCCGATCATTCATCGCTTCATGCTGTCTATTTTCCAGAGCAAATCATTCAAAAATCATTATACTTGAACCCTAACTTTTTTTTATTGATTTGTAGGATGTGGGCATTGCTGGCTAAGTCAACAGCTCAAAAAAGTTCAATTGTAGCACCTTGACTGCCATCTAGTGTGAGTGTGAGTGTTGGCCTTTTACACAGCTTGTGCTTAAAAAACTGAGAGGAATTTTGGTTATCAGTTATAGTAACAAAGGAGCTGTCAGATTGACATAACAATCTAACTGGTGCACTGCTGTCCTAGCAGTAAGAAAACTTGGTATTATAAGAGATAGTAGGAACTGCAGATGCTGGAGAATCCGAGACAACAAGGTGCAGGGCTGGATGAACACAGCAGGCCAAGCAGCATCATAGGAGCAGAGCTGCT